ACCCAAATAGGAAAGAATATACCTTCTTCTCTGCAGCTCATGGAACCTTCTGAAAAATCGACCACATAGTCGGTAACAAAGCAAACATCCACAGTTACAAAAAAATATTAGTAACCACCTGTGTCTTATCAGATCACCATGGATTAAAGTTAGAATTCAACAACAATGCCACCCCCAGAAAGCCTACAAACTCATGGAAACTGAACAGTCAACTACTGAACCATACCTGGATTAAGGAAGAAATTAAGAAAGAAATTAAAGTCTTCCTGGAATTCAATGAAAATAAAGAAACAACATACTTAAACTTATGGGACACTATGAAAGCAGTCCTAAGAGGAAAGTTCATAGCACTAAGTGCCCACTTAAAGAAAACAGAGAAAGCTCACATTGGAGACTTAACAGCCCACCTGAAAGCTCTAGAAAAAAAAGAAGCAGACTCACCTAGGAGGAGTAGAAGACTGGAAATAATCAAACTGAGGGCTGAAATCAACAAAATAGAAACACCGAAAACAATCCAAAGAATCAATTAAACAAAAAGCTGGTTCCTGGAGAAAATCAACAAGATTGACAAACCCCTATCCAAACTAATCAAACGGCAGAGAGAGAATTTGCAAATTAATAAGATCAGAAATGAAAAGGGGGACATAACCACAGACACAGAGGAAATTCAGAGACTCATTAGATCTTACTACAAAAGCCTATATGCCACAAAACTGGAAAATGTAAAGGAAATGGACACTTTTTTAGATAAATACCATATACCAAAGTTAAACCAGGACCAGGTGAACAATCTAAATAGACCTGTTAGTCGCGAAGAATTAGAAGAGGTTATCAAAAACCTCCCTATCAAAAAAAGCCCAGGACCAGATGGTTTCAATGCGGAATTCTACCAGAACTTCCAAGAAGAACTAATACCTATACTCCTTAATGTATTTCACAATATAGAAACAGAAGAGTCATTGCCAAATTCCTTTTATGAAGCTACAGTCACTCTGATACCAAAACCACACAAAGACTCAACCAAGAAAGAGAATTACAGGCCAATCTCACTCATGAACATCGACGCAAAAATCCTCAACAAAATACTGGCAAACCGTATCCAAGAACACATTAGAAAAATTATCCATGATGATCAAGTAGGCTTCATCCCAGGGATGCAGGGCTGGTTCAACATACGAAAATCTATCAATGTAATCCAGCATATAAATAAACTGAAAGAAAAAAACCATATGATCATTTCATTAGATGCTGAAAAAGCATTTGACAAAATTCAACACCCCTTTATGATAAAAGTATTGGAGAGATTAGGGATACAAGGGCCATACCTAAATATAATAAAAGTTATATACAGCAAGCCGACAGCTAACATCAAATTAAATGGAGAGAAACTCAAAGCCATCCCATTAAACTCAGGAACACGACAAGGCTGTCCACTCTCGCCATACCTCTTCAATATAGTGCTTGAAGTTCTAGCAATAGCAATAAGACAACATAAGGGGATCAAGGGGATTCGAATTGGAAAGGAAGAAGTGAAACTTTCGTTATTTGCAGATGATGATAGTGTACATAAGCGACCCCCAAAACTCCACCAAAGAACTTTTATAGCTGATAAACACCTTTAGTAATGTGGCAGGATACAAGATCGACTCCAAAAAAATCAGTGGCCTTCCTATACACTAAGGATAAGGAAGCAGAGAGGGAAATCAGAGAAGCATCACCTTTCACGATAGCCACAAACAGCATAAAATATCTTGGGGTAACTCTGACCAAGGAAGTGAAAGATCTATTTGACAAGACCTTTAAGGTATTGAAGAAAGAAACTGAGGAGTATACCAGAAAATGGAAGGACCTCCCTTGCTCTTGGATTGGGAGGATCAACATAGTAAAAATGGCAATTCTACCAAAGGCAATTTATAGATTCAATGCAATCCCCATCAAGGTCCCATCAAAATTCTTCACAGATCTTGAGAGGACAATAATCAACTTTATATGGAAAAACAAAAAACCCAGGATAGCCAAAACAATCCTATATAATAAAGGATTGTCTGAAGGCATTACCATCCCTGACTTCAAACTCTATTACAGAGCTACAGTGATGAAAACAGTGTGGTACTGGCATAAAAACAGAGAAGTCGACCAATGGAATCGTATAGAAGACCCGAATTTTAACCCACAAACCTATAAACACCTCATTTTTGATAAAGGAGCCAAAAGTATACAATGGAAGAAAGAAAGCATCTTCAACAAATGGTGGAGGTCAACCTGTAGAAGAATGAAAATAGACCCAAATCTATCACCATGCACCAAACTCAAGTCCAAATGGATTAAAGACCTTATTATCAGTCAGAACACATTGAACCTGATAGAAGAGAAAGTGGGAAGTACCCTACAGCAGATGGGCACAGGAGATCGCTTCCTATGTGTAACCCCAACAGCACAGACATTAAGGGCAACGTTGAATAAATGGGACCTACTAAAACTGAGAAGCTTCTGTAAAGCAAAGGACACTGTCACCAAGACAAAAAGGCAACCTACTGACTGGGAGATCTTCACCAACCCCGCAACAGACAAAGGTCTGATCTCCAAAATATATAGAGAACTCAAGAAACTAGACTTTAAAATGCTAATTAACCCAATTAAAAAATGGGGCACTGAACTGAACAGAGAATTCTCAGCAGAGGAACTTCAAATGGCCAAAAGACACTTAAGGTCATGCTCAACCTCCTTAGCGATCAGGGAAATGCAAATCAAAACAACTTTGAGATATCATCTTACACCTGTCAGAATGGCTAAAATAAAAAACTCCAATGATAGCCTTTGCTGGAGAGGCTGTAGAGGAAGGGGTACCCTCATCCATTGCTGGTGGGAATGCAGTCTTGTGCAACCACTTTGGAAATCGGTGTTTCAGTTTCTCAGGAAATTAGGGATCAACCTACCCCTGGACCCAGCAATACCACTCCTGGGAATATACCCAAGAGATGCCCTATCATATGACAAGAGCATTTGTTCAACTATGTTCATAGCAGTATTATTTGTAATAGCCAGAACCTGGAAACAACCTAGATGCCCTTCAATGGAAGAATGGATGAAGAAAGTGTGGAATATCTACACATTAGAGTACTATGCTGCGGTAAAAAACAATGACTTCTCAAATTTTGCATGCAAATGGATGGAAATAGAAAACACTATCCTGAGTGAGGTAACCCAGACCCAAAAAGATGAATATGGGATGTACTCACTCATAATTGGTTTCTAGCCATAAACAAGGGTCACAGAGTCTACAATTGGTGATCCCAAAGAAGCTAAGTAGGAAGGTGAACCAAAGGAAAAACATATAGTTGTCCTCTTGGCTATGGGAAGTAGACAAAATGGCCGGGGAGAAAATTGAGATCTTGGGGGTGGGGTGGGATGGGGGTAAGGGGAGATGGGGAGAGAAAAGGGAGAAGAGGAGAATGGGGGGAACTTGGGGAAAAAGGAGGATTGGGATAAAGGAAGGTTGGATAGGGGAGCACGGAAGCACAATTCTTAGTTAAGGGAGCCACCTTAGAGTTGGCAAGAGACTTGAACCTAGAGTGGCTCCCAGATGCCCAAGCCAAGGTCCCCAGTTAGTTCCTTGAGCAGCTGAGGATAGGGAACCTGAAATGACCCTATCCTATAGCAATACTGACGAATAACTTGCATATCATCATAGAACCTTCATCTGGTGATGGATGGAGATAGAGACAGAGACCCACACTGGAGCACTGGACTGAGCTCCCAAGGTCCCAATGAGGAGCAGAAGGAGGGAGAACATGAGCAAAGAAGTCGGGACTGCAAGGGGTGCACCCACCCACTCAGACAGTGGAGCTGATCTATTGGGAGCTCACCAAGGCCAGCTGGACTGTGACTGAAAAAGCATGGGATAAAACTGGACTCTCTGAGCATGGCGAACAATGAGGGCTGATGAGAAGCCAAGGACAATGGCACGGGGTTTTGAACCTACGTAATGTGCTGGCTCTGTGGGAGCCTAGCCAGTTTGGATGTTCACCTTCCTAGAAATGGACGGAGAGGGGAGGACCTAGGACTTACCACAGGGAAGGGAACCCTGACTGCTCTTTGGACTGGAGAGGGAGGGGGAGAGGAGTGGGGGGAGGGGGAAAAGGGTGGGAGGAGGGGGAGAAGGGTGGGAGGAGGGGGAGGGAAATGGGAGGCTGGGAGGAGGCAGAAACTTGTTTTTTTTTCTCCTTTTCTCAATAAAAAAATGGGAAATAAATAAATAAATAAGAAAGGACAGAGAGTGTCAAGTAACAGATTTTATTTGGTAAAAAGAACTGTAGTTCAAGCACAATGAATAAAACTATCCCCCCAATGTGTTCTATTCAGTAAAACCAAGAGAAAGGTTTTTAAAAAGGAATTAGCTTTAAAAAGTGGGTCTGGCCAGCACCTCCTTGGCTGAGAGGAAATCCTAAATATAAAACTTTTGGGTGGCAGCGTCTACCCTACTTTGGGTACATGAGCTCCAGTAGGGGGCGCTGCAGACATCACCTCCTAAATACAAAAGACTACTGAGGGTTAACTAGACCAGATCTCTGAGCAGTCTCTTTCATGTCCAAAGTGACTTTCCTAGGGTCGCAGGGACAACAGTGGAGGACACCGGGGAAGGTGGAGAGAACCTTCAGGGTGAGAAATTCTGTACTGCCTAGAGCACAGGTTCCCATCTCTCTCTCCAAAGTTACCTTCAAGATCACAGATCCCAGGGTCAGGGAGTGGAGTGAGACCTAGAAAACAGCCAGAAGCCTCCTACCTTAGTTTATCTTCTTCTTAGATCTTGGTCTCCCACCCTCACTACAGAGCTGCCCAGTGTGTCCGTGATCCCCAGATGAGACAGAAGCCTGGCAGAATGTTGACAGGGTGATTCTTCCTGTCGTGATGGGGATGGTGCCTCCCCCAGTTCACTCTCTGTATGGACTGGAGAATCACAACTCCATTGGCTGACAGAGTGAATTCATTTTCGCCAAGATTCACCACAGGATTGGGTAGTCAGAAAACATATTGCACTGGTATAAGAAATCGTTGGTATTTCTTTTCTTTGTGAGATCTAGTGGTTCTGTCATTTCTTTGATGGATCCTCTGTTGGTCATTCTCTGCCCAGATGTTCCTACCTGGGATTCTGGGCAAAGATCCCTGCTTACTCTGCCCGTGGGAGCATCCACAGTACTCCTTGTGAGAGCAGTCTGCTGGACGTAGAAGAGTACATAGGCAGGCTCCCTCAGGACCAAAATCACATCACATCTGTCGACACTACAATCATCCATCTTATACCATTGGCCATTGCCAGCTTTGACATAACAAAAGTAATGGCCACTGTGACAAGTCAGACCATTATGGACCAGCACAGCATACAGGGCATACACCAATGGGCCTCCACTGGACTGAGATACGTATGGCTGGAAATAAAGGGACTCACGGTAGCTCACTTCCCTGGCCTTGTTGTCACCTGTGAAATCTGAGAAGCGATTCAACACCAGCAGGAGAACCTTTGGGGCATCCTGCACAGTCAGAGTTTTGGAAGCTGCCGTCTTCTCCTGACAGTGGCTGCAGTGATAGGCATTTTCCCCACACAGCTTTTCCTCCTTTACTAAAGCCTCCAAGGCTTGCTCCACACTCTGAGCTGCTTTGATATCCAGGGTGATGTCAAGGAAGGGCTCTAAGATGTCTGTGGTTTCCTGGCAGTGGAGACACTTGATCTGAGATCTCCAGGAGCCTCCAAATATCTCACGGATGAGGGTGCTCTGCTCAGATGTGGACCCCAAGTCCTTGTTTTCTTGGAGACAGGATGTGTGCATGGCATTCAAGATGAACATCAGAAACTCATGGGCATCTTCCTGCTTGTCCTTATGGAAGGCACCAGTTAGCGCCTTTGAAGGCCGCATGGCACCCCTCGCGCGGAGGAGACTGCGGGACACATGATATTTCATAGCACACATCATGCAGCTTCCTTGGTTACAACGGTTCTGAGAGTGCTCCCAGGACAGCAGGCGGTTGACAAGAGGTGGTGTGTGTGTCAGGCACTGCAGGGCAGCATTCAGGTAGCAGCTGTTCCCCGTGTTCTTGAGCCCAGCTCCCACGTCATAAGGCTTCTCCCACGTCAGATTGTGCTTCCCCCTGGCAGCCAGCTCTGCTGACACCTGAGCTTCATCTTGATGCTGGGCTGGTTGGTCAGGAGATGACAGGGCAGGATCTGTGGGAGGACAAGATCACAGATAGACTCCAGAGCTAACAGCCTTGGTTGAGGACATGTAAGCTATATTGACTTACTGTGAGACTCACCTTCTAAGAACAGCTTAGCAGACTCTATGTCCCCAGCGTCCTTCTCCATACATGGAGCTGGTGTCCTTTCAGCAGGCAGGATGCTTTCCCTCTCGTAAAAGCTCACTTCTTCATTTAAGCAGGCTACCTGGCTCTGCTGGTCTTCATCAGATGCTGACATCCCAAAGGAAGTGTCTCTGATGCCAGAGGATGAACGGACTTGCTAGCAGGGTAGGAGCAAGCAGGAAAAGTCAAAAGCTTCCTTCTTCCAGGTTCTTAAGTAGGCTTCCAACAGAAGGTGTGGCCCAGAGTAAAGGTGTGTCTTTTCTCCTTATAATCCCAATCAAAGCCTGGAGTTGGTGGCTCGCACCTTTAATCCGAGCACTCAGGAGGCAGAGGCAGGGTATCTCTGTGAGTTCCAGGGCAGCCAGGGCTGGAACCCTGTCTCAAAAAAGCAAATTTAAAAAAAAAATCCCATCAGGTGTATGTCTTCCAGAATCATGATGAAAGTTAAAGCCTTCCGTCTTCCCACCTCAAAGTCTGGTGTTCCTTTTAACACAAATCTACACAACAGCCAATGCAGAAAGGTTTGTAGACATGCACTCCAAGACTTTCACTTCAGTGGTGGGTGGGGCAACAAATGGACATGATCCTGGTTTTGAACTAGCTTCCAAGATGGCAGAGGCCATGCCCCTGTGGTAGCATTCCTTTCTGCAGCTTGTTTGCTTGTTCCCTAGATTACTGTTTTCCCTCAACCCTATCCTTGATTGTCGAGGTAACTACATCTGGAACTATCTAAAATCCAAACATGGCAGCCACCTGTAAGAGATTTTTTTCCTTAATTTGAGGCAGGAAGATCCACCTCTACCCAGGATCTTTAAGGTAGGAAGACATGCCTCTAGTCCACATCTTAGGTCAGAAAAGAGAAAGCCTAATTTCACAGAACTAACCTTACGTTTGACACTCTGGAGACAACATTTTGCTCTTGGGAGCAGGAGTGAAACAGGAGGAGGGTGTTTCTCAAATATTTCTTCTCCCTTTGACCTCCAGACTATGCTCTTTGTTCCTTACTCAGATTTTCAAGGTCAAACTTATCACCCAGAAGTACAGCTGTGCTTCCCCGGCACAGGCAAGGCTGCTGGCCTCTAATGGCTGTCAATCTGCACACAAATTGCTCTAAGCAGGCTTCTCAGATGCTTCATGGTTCAAGCATCCCTCTATCCTGATCACTCCCTAGTAACCCCACTACTGAGTAAGAGATCTCTGTCTTATACGGTGGGACATCCCCACACCGGAGAGGTATGAGATCAAACAGTAAAATATCTTCGCACCACAAGGCAGAAGCACACAGCTAACTCAGCACACCACAGTGAACGAGCTAGGCTGTGAGAGTCATGCTTTTGAGGAGAAAGGGTGCGTGGTGAACCTGTGTCCTCGTGGAAGGTGCCGGTTGACTAGTTTGAATTATGTACAGATTTACAGAGATGGCCGTGACAGAGAGTTATTAATCAGGAGAGGTGTAGCCAGTAGATTAGTTAGGTGCTGGCCAGGTGGGAAGTATTTTGCAGTGGACAAGAGGCATTCATGCGTGCAGGGTTGCTGTTAGGTCTTTGGAATTTGGTGAGGCAAGAATATATCAAGAGAGTTGGGAGTTCATCCTTTCCACACTCAGGCCTACGGCAATCTTGTTTTGTTTTTTCTTTTGGACTTATTCCCTGGGTAGGGGATTTCAATTTTCTTAAAGCAAAAAGGAGGTATAATCAACGATAAGATAGACAACATCTGTGAAGAAAAACAAACAAATGTTACTGTCTCCCCCATGGCTGGTAGGCTAGGACAATCACTGACCTTTCTTTGGCATGCCATAAAAGATAGGTGTTTGGTTAGATTCCCCCAAATCCACATTTCCTTTTGACGCCTCCTCCTCCCTGCAGTATTTCAGAGAGACCTCTCCTCCCCCACTCAACATAGCTGCTGAACTTTGACCTCTAGGGGACCTCACATGCAGGACCCTGAAGAGGGGGACATAATCTGTAATTAAGGCAGCCTCTGGATCGCAGGAGCTCCTGGCCATCTCAGGCGAGGAGATCTCAGGCAAGGGAAGGGTCTTGGTGCCTTACCGAAGGGTTTAAGGTGCCAACCCATAACTCAACGTGGCCTCTGGGCCCTGCCTACAAACCAGCATACTGGTGCCTCTATGCCATCCAGCTAGTGAGGAATCCCGCATCCAGTTCTCCAGCTTCCACCTTTGCCAGCACTTGGCACTTTCCTTGTGTGGTTTATTTTCTTTTCTTTTTTTGTTTTTTCCCTTTTTGTTGTTGTTGTTTTGTTTGGTTTTTTGTTTGTTTGTTTGTCTGCTTTGTTTTACTCCCTAAGAAAGGTCCAAAATTAGGCAGGTAGTGGTGGCATATACCTTTAATCCCAGCTTCGGTGAGGCAGAGGCTGATGGATCTCTGTGAGTTAGAGGCCAATTTGGACTACAGAGATAGTTTCAGGAGAGCCAGAATTACACATAGAGAAACGCTGTCTCAAACAACAACAATAGTAATAATAATAATAGTAATAAATAAGAAGGTGGAAGAAGTCTGGTAATAATGTAAGTTTCACAAAATGATTAAAATTACAATAATGAATATTTAAACAAAAATTCTAAGATAATTAGTGTTTATCATGAAATAGGTCTAAGTCCTAGGCTAGGGTTCCCTGGAGTTTACTTTGTGGTATAAACTGTACTGATTCCCTTCAAAAATCTTGCTGACTCCCACTTCAAAAAGATAAGATGAATGTTTAGGTAGCAAATGCTACTGTTGTGTTTGTTTCTGAGGCAAGATCCTTTGAACCATCCTGACAGTGCTGGTGGATTTTGTGTGTTACCTTGACCCAAGCTAGAGTCACCAGAGAGGAAGGAGCTTAGTTGACAAAATGCCTCCCTGAGATCCAGCTGTAAGGCATTTTCTCAATTCCTGATCAACGGGGGAGGGCCCCGGCCATGGTGGGAGGTGCCATCCCTGGGCTGGTGGTCCTGGGTTCTATAAGAAAGCCGTCTGAGCAAGCCAGGGACAACAAGCCAGGAAGCAGCACTTCTCCAAGGCCTCTGCTTCAGCTCCTGCCTCTAGGAACCTGCTCCTTTTAAGTTCCTGTCCTGATGTCCTTCAGAGGTAAAAAGCAATGTAGAGTAAGCTGAGTAAACCCACTCCTGTTGGATTCAGGGGGGGTTGCGCAAAGATAGGGACAGACCACCAAAGTCTAATAAACCAGACGCAAACTTTATTCCAGAAACCAGAATCCAGGAAAAAAATTAAAAAATTAAATAAAAAATCTCCATGGGGCACAAAAAGTTATCAGCTGAGACCACAGCCAGAGATTTTTTTGGGGTGGGGAGGTAAGGCTGTGGCAGAGGTTGGTTTCTGAACACACTCTTTTATAGTAGGCACCAAGCATTAGGTCTGAACAAAAAAATTTTTTTACAATTTTAAGGTAAAACTCAGATACAGATTGCCTTACTTTACAAGCTCCATTAATAGTTTTTTAGTTAAACTAGTGTGTGTACTTATTATCTTCCTTGGTACTTCCAGGTGGTGTTTACTGAAGCCCTTGCTGTCTGCTTGATGCTGCCAGTTTAACATAGCAGGGATAATGCCTAACCCAGAGGTCATATAACTATTTTCTAGCTCTCAGTTTGTGGAGAGATGCTTTGGCCTTGTAAATAGAGCTATGGGTTGTAAAGTGGAGTAACCCACTGTGAATAGTTAATCCTCAAGCTGCCGAGAGAGCTGCTGACAGTCTGTTCTCATTCTCCTAGGCTTATAACTTCATATTTCTTTATTTTTACATTCCTATTTCTGGAATCTACATTTTTATATTCTTATTCTTGGACCCTTCCCTCCCAAACTTACTTTTTGGTTATGGAATAGAAGAAACCCTAAGAAAACCTGGTACCAGTATACTGGGGTGTTGCTGGGACAACCCTGGTCATGATTTAGGGATAATTGTGGAATGACTTTGGAACTTTGGGCTAGAAGAATAATTGAGTGTTAAGAGCTCAGTGGGGTGTTCTTTAGGACCTTGAAACTCAAGAATGTTAAGAGCAACCCAGAAGACTAAGACCTGGCTTGTGAAGTTTCAGAGGAAAGTTTAAAGATTCTCTCAAAGCCTTTTGTCATTTTGAATAAAGATTCTGTGGTTCTGGTTAGCAGAGGCTGAAGAATCAGCTGTGGTTAACAACATACTAGCGCTGTAGGGCATTTTCTCAATTAGTGACTCAATGGGGGAAGGTCCAGCTCCCAAGTGGGTGGTATCAGCCTTGAGCTGTTGGCCCTGGGTTCTATTTTTTTTTTGTCCATAAAGGCTCTTTATTTATGTTTTACATCTCTAGAAAAAGAATCCCAGGATTTTCCCTCCTGTGTGCTTTCATCTTGCCTCTTCATGGTCCATGATGCCAGCTGAGGTGGTCAGTACAATGAAGCCAAACTGACGGGATGGGAGCAGATTGTTCTGCCATTTTTCTAGGTCTTTGAGTTGCACATCAAATCTAGGGCTTATTACTCCACACTTGTTCAACCTGCCAGTGAGGTTCACAACGATCTTCCCAGCTCTGTGGTCGTCAATGATTTCAAATTCACCGATATAACCATGCTTCATCATCACGGTTAGGAACCGAACGATGACTTTGGAGCAGGGCCTGATGAGGACCTGGCGTTTGCCTCTCTTCTCTGCATTGTTGATGCTCTTGAGAGCATCGGCCAGGACGTTCATGCGCACCATGGTGGCGGCGCGGGAAGATGGCCGAAAGAGGCCTGGGTTCTATTTTTTTAAAAAGCAGGTTGAATAAGCTAGGGAAAGCAAGCCAGAAAGCAGCTCCTCTCCAAGGCTTCTGTGTCAGCTCCTGCCTCCAGGATCCTGCCCTGTTTGAGTTCCTGTCCTGACTTCTTCAATGGTGGACAGCAATGTAGAGGCATAAGCTGAATAAACCCTTTCCTCTCCAACTTGCGTTTGGGTCATAGTATTTCATTGCAGCAATAGAAATGCTAAGTAAGACACTGACTTTGAGCATGTTCTCTACCTGGGCTGGTGTGCGTGGGGTAGTTAGAGTTAGAGACGACTGCCAAGATGGAGGTAGCATGAAAAGGTACAAGGAGAGAGAGGTAAAGGTAGGGGAGGGGAAAGCAAGCAGAGCAAGGA